GCAGTAATTGAATTAGTCTTAATTAATGGGAACCCCTTACCCCCTTGTACCTTGTGGCCGATGAAAGAGATTGGCTTATACAAGCTGGCAAAGTCATTCCACCTAGTTGTCTAGTACCTCTTACACAGGAAATGCTCTCTGGTAGACATTGACGTGTAATTCAAACATCCAACTCTTCCTGAGATTTATCCACTCATCCTGTTCTCAGACCTGCCTATCTCTGATCTTTTAATCTGTTTCCTCCCAGGCCCTTGAGCAACCAACCAGGACATTCACCAGTGCCCATGAGGTCATGTGTAGTTTTACCTCAGACCACTGCTCTTTCTACACAAAATTGGTGACTAATTGCATCCCACTCTGACCCTCTGACCATTAGGAGGTTTTCCGTCCTTACTATGCATCAGAGATAAGCAAATCTTAGCCTCTGTACTTCTCTGTTAGCTGGCCATGAAGACCCCTCCACTAAGCTCTAGATGTGAGTTATGGAGATACACCCGGACAGCACTGAGGGATGGCTGGACTTCTGTGTCACCTGCATTTAGCTGACTTTGATGTCTGTCCCTGCTTGGGCTCAATCCTGGGATATACCCATGTTCACTTTAGAATGAATTGTTATAGGGTTGGCCCCAACCCATGATTGGGTAGCCCTTAGCTGACCCAGCATATAACAGGTAGCTCTGGCCATGAGTTCCCTTGGTGTCTTATGATCAGTGGCTCTGTATTCCCAGGGCCCAGTAGCACATTAGGAACTGCTTTCTGATGAGTGTTCTCTGTCGGCCTGAACTTTCTCCAGAAACCCAGAGGTCTGCACTGTGATTCTTCTATTGGGCTTTTGTATAAAACGACACACTGTCTTTTCCTACCATAAATACCTGTAGCCCTAGTGTCTCTTGGGGTACATGGATCAAGTGTCAAGGCCACTTTCCCCAGCCTGGACCTTCCACTGAGCTCTTTACGGCTCTAGCCACTACTCAAAGCTTCCAGTCTTTTGCGTTACCCAGCAAATGGGCCAGAATACGCTGCCTGTACAACCAGAAGCAACTATCAAATTTTGTGCTATTTTATTAGTAGTGAGAGGTATGAGATGCAATCCTTTGTCACCTAAGTTGGAGAGTACAACCTGGAGTGCTGTGGTACACTGACCCCTGAAAAAGGTCATTAGCTTGAAGCTTTAATCTCCACTTGCAGGAGTGTGTGTGCTTAAAGACTTTCAATAACCTTGACACTTCATGTTAATGTGGCCTTTTTCATGTGACACTGTCAATACGATGGGCCAATGTGATGTTCTATGGAATGCCAGCTGCTCTATCTCCCTTATGACCGAAGATCCTGGACAATACCATACCTCTTGTCCATCCCAGAGTGTGAACTGCTTCTCATGCTCCTTTCTGATAGGAATGGAAGAGAATGCATTCACCCCATCAATGGCTGCTTAGTATGTGCTAGAGTCTGCATTCCTCGGTTTTAGTGAAATCACATCTGGCATAGCAGCTGCAATTAGGGCCACTACTTGATTAAGTTTTCAGTACTGATTCATTCAGTTGTGATTCATTCTATGTTTGTAGGGTCTGTTCTGCTGAATTGCATGGGGATTCGATAGGGACCATCACCCTTGCATTCTTTGCATCTTTGAAATTAGCCCCGATCTCTATCCTTTTCCCCAGGTTGCAGTATTATTTTTTAATTGGCTATTTGGGCTTGATTCAGGGCACAGACTCAGAGGGTTCCACTTGTTTACTATTATATTTCATAGCTTACATGGGGAGGAATGGATGTGAAGGTTTCCTCTAACCTCCAATATCTATTTCAATTAAGCCAGTCAGTGATCACAGGTTGGATGAGCCAAGCATACCTACCATAAGCCAGACCTAGATTCCAGGATTCCATTTATTTCCTGGCCCCACCCAGCCCCATTCAAACAGGAGGACACTGTAAACATTGAGTCCTTCATTGAGAATCAGGGTCGATTCTCATGCCACGTCCAGCCTCCATTGGAAAGTCTTGGTATCCTTTTCCCACATGCAATCACTTGAGTGAAAGACTGTTGACCCGGATTTCAACTATGGCTATGGTGTTTCCATTTGGAGAAAATATTGCTTTCTGCCTCTACTGTACTTGGTCTAAAAACTGACTCCAGTTTAAAAACTTCACAAAGGAACATAAATTTGAAATCTAAAAGTCTTCCTTCAGATTTCTTACCATACATTCTCAAAATTTTTTGCTTCTGTAAACCAAGCAATATCCCCTTTAATTGCTCATCTGACTTGTCTCTGGAAACACCAAATTCCACTAGCATCTCCACGTTCTTTGAAGGTTAGAGGCCACTCCTCCAGCCCAACTCAAATGCCACTTGAGTTTGGCCACACATCATATCTGTGGCCACTTTGCTTCATTACAGTAATTGCAACTTCCTTGATTCCGAGGGCTGAGTGCTACCTCCTGTACTTCCTTTGTTTGGGGAACATAATCAGGCTCATTGCTATCAAGAAGCCCATCTCTGTGCTGGCCCCATCTCAGCCCTAGCCTAGAGAGAGCCCACTCCTACCAGGCATGCCTTCTTGCTTTGAGCCTTGGAATGCCCTCAGGCCCTCCCCTGGAGCACACGCAGCTGGTGAGTTTCCAGACCTGTATAGTAATGCGCTCAGGAGCCCCAGCTTCCCTGGCCCTTTTGATCTTGTCCGTCTCTGTTCTCCAAGGCACTCTGTGCTTCACTTTTGTCAGTTTCTAGGAGCCCTTCTACCAACTCATTGGTATCATTTCCTGAGTCCTTGCCAAGGTGTCAGATCATATTAAAAGGATTCTGTCCCCATGTTGATAACTCTTGATTAACCAACCTGGTGCTCTGCTTCTCTTGATCCATACCCTGAAATCTGGTCCCATGCATCTGCTACCAGCTACTACGGGAACATGTTGGCCAGACCATGAGGATCCTTTGGTGCCTACTGTGTCCCTCCTTCCACCGCAGGTTTAGCGCCTCTCTTGTCTGGTTGTGCTCTAATTTGATCTTCCTTGTTGGCCTAATTGCCAGGAGGGGAAGTGAGATAGACTCTGAAGAAGGCAAGCATTGGCTTTTAGAGAACATGACTTATCTGAGATATTCATCCTATTTTAAGCAAGAGGAGTGCTGCTGTGTTCTAATGAGGCAGAGAGGGGTGTGGAGGGGACCTCCAAGACCCAATCGCAGTTATTAACTGCATAAACTCAGCCCTATCTGAAGCCCCACTCCGATAATAATAAGTCCTGAACCTGCTTCCTCTTCTTCTGGTATTAAGGAAACATTAGGGTTTCCTTAAATGCTGCTAAGGAGACCCTCTGGCTTTCCTATTTGGCTTGAAGTGGTAATTCATCATCTGAGCCTGTCATTATTTATCTTTAACAAATCAATGGTGCTCGGCAAAAGTCACCCAAGTCTTATCATCCTTATAATTACCTTAACCCTCGTGAGCACAGCAACACCAGATTGGGCCACGCACCCCCTTCCACGGGTAGCTAGCATCCACCTACCACTGGTACGAGTTGTAACCACCGCATGGCAGTTTCTACAGTTTCAACAACTACACTGCTACAGCATCACAGGGGGCAGATGCATTGCACCCACTACCAGGGAAGGAGTTTGCATTTTCACATCTGTGAAACCCCATTTAAAAACTCAGTTTCTTGAAACCACTTTTTGTACCAACAAACTCTAGATGGGAGGTTCTGGGCAGAGGCACTCGTGGAGGACGCATAAGCAGGAAAATAAGGACGTGACCTCAGGAACAGGGAGATGCTGGCCGGCACAGAGGTTGGACATAAGCCAAACTGATTCTCTGGGGAGCACTGGAGCCTGAGTACCCTGTGAACTTGCCCCGATATGAGGCAAGAGGGCAGGCCTTTGTATTCCCGACCAGACAGGCACCGGCTATGAACCACCTCCCTGGGGGGAGGCATGACTTTGGATCAGGCAATTTTCTGATTCCTGTCCTTGGACTAAGGATGATTTCTAGTAAGAAGCATAAGATGAGCAGTCAGCAGTTGATATTCCAGGAAGCTAAGGAATGTGTCTGTCAACCCTGCAGAGGGAAACTCTGCCACGCCACACATCTGCTATAATGACCCTCTCTGTCATCCCCCCACCAACACTGCTACCCATCATCCACTTCGCCTCGCACAATGAAATCCCCACAGCTTTGCAGAGAGTGTTGTTGGTTCTGGATATTCAGGGATACTTTCTCAAGCAAAAGCAAAGTCCTCTTCCACGGTCATACCACCTTAAATGATCCGCTAAGCTTAGCTGGCAAGGGAGCTAGGAATGACAACCTGGTCCCAATCAGTGAAGGGAGCACCAGCCTGGTGGTTTGTCCTGTTGGCACTCTGGTTGCACATCTTCTGTTGACTGAGAAAACTAATGCAATAGGTCTGGAGTACAGGAGAGCAAAAGATTTAGTTTGGCATTACAATAGCTCAACCATGGCATCGTCCTGATTAATAATCACCTTGGAATTCTAGGGCATTACCTTCTAATTAATGTCACCCCTCTCCCGCAGTGTCCTGACTCTCAAACCTCCAGGGGCAAGTCAGAGCACGAGAAGTCTATCTTAGTCTCATCACAGAGAGAGGAAGAATACCAGAATGACTGTGGCAAAGATGGATGAGCTGCTCCGTAAACATTTCCCTTTGTCTCCTTTGGGACACAGTCTCCATTTGCCAGCCTCCCTTGAAGGTGGGTGCTGCCATGTGCCTGAGCACTGAACAAAAATTTGGGCAGAGGTGATTTCCCAGTCCTTCCCATGCCTGGCCCACAGATGCCCACACATGTAAATGCTTCCCTTTCTTTCTCGTCCTAGGAGAGGACAGGAGAGGCTCTGAGCAAGGCAGGCTAGTGGGGGGTGGAGCCGTGATGTGGACGATGGCGGGGGGGGGGGGGGGGGGGGGGGTCCTTGGATCTCTCTCTGCTTGGGAGAGAGCTGTCCAGGGGACTGGCTCCTCCACATCAGTGCTGTTATGCAAATGATCGTTTGTTATCGTCCTGTGGGACCTTGGGGTTGCTTGTTGCAGCAGTTGGCTTCCACTGACTAATACAGAGACAGCAAATGACTGTGAGTCAGAGGCGACCCCAGGGAACCAGTGCTGTGCGTCTCACCAACTCTGGGCACTAATTACTTGGGAACATTTTTAGATTCTCAGAACCTACGCGGTGACTTCAGCCATCCAGAATAGTCATTTTGAAAACAAACAAAAATCCATCTGAAAGTCACCTTGATGAGAACAGGAGGCTGGCAGGACTTCCTAGCCATCAGAAGGACCTTAATGTGGCCAAGATTTGCAGTTCTGTGTGACTCCTTGGACACCCTGCATGCGCTTTTCATCGAGTCAAGAATCATCTGACTTCCCACCCTGGCCCCAGCCTCTCTCTCCTCAGCCCCAGCAACTCTATCTGCAGAGCTGTACCCTGCATCTACTTGGAAATGCATTTTTGCCTCCAAAACACACAGAAGCTGTTGATGTGTGCCTTGGAGTTAGGCGGGGGAAACTCCCCCAGAGAGCAGGGCACATCAACCTAAAAAGCAAGGAATGCAGACTCTGGGGTGACATTCTTGCTCTTAACCATGCCAGCCTGGCGCTCCACGGTGTTCACATTCCTACAATTAAACTGCCAAGTTCTCAATCACCTGCAGCTGCTGCCAACTGCTGGCTGCTGATAGCCAAAGTGGCAGCCGCCCGGGCGTCAGCAGTCCTGTTTTGCCACCTCCTCTGGACTGGCTTCACTGCTCTCCCAGCCTCCTCACGATAGTCGGGCACTCATTTCACTTTTCCGGGGGCTATGGAGAGAGACACCTGGGCAGGTGCCGTGGGGCTGGCACGAAGAGGCTCCCTACAGGACCCACAGCTTTCCCTGTGCTGTGCTATTTTAGTGCTTCAAATACCACCTCCTCCTAGTGGGATGGCAATTCTCATTCCCAAGGAGAGCAAACAGCCAGGAGAGTGGAGAGAAAGTGCTGAGCACACATTCCCCGCCAGCCATCCAGGATCTCAGAGAACCTGCACCTCACCCAGGAAGGTAAATATTACACCCCGATTTCAGAAACAAAGGCCCCGGGGAAAGCTTGGCCACTTGACAGTCTAGCTCCCTCCTCTCTCCCATCACCAACACCCTGGATTAGACGTTTATGACCTTCCCTTGACCTTGTTTCTGCTTTTTAGACTCTAGGCTCCATTCACTCGATCTGCACCTTCGCCATGGAAGCCATTAGCTACAAGTGGCCACTGAGCCCTTGCAAGGTGGCTAGGACGATTAAGACATGCTGTTAAGTAGAAATGACACAATGGATTCTGATGACATAGTACAATAAGAAAGGCGGCAAAATATCTGGTGGATAATGTGTAACATTGATGACATTTTGAAATGCTTTTAATGATTGTATTTTCAATATAATAATCAAGATACATTATTAATCTTTTTTTCCTTTTACTTTTTTCACATGGCTCCTACAAGATGTAAAGTTATGCAGGCAGGTTACGTTTCTGGCTCATGATATCAACGACTTAGATCTCACAGTGTCTAGAGATTGACCAGGATGTTCTGTTTGAACCACCAACTGCCTGTGTCACCTCCCTGCTCCCCACAGCCAGCTGGCTTAATTCCAGGGTCTTTGACACGGCTGATGAGCCCTTCCCTGCTTGGTTCCTTGTCTCTCTCATGTGTCCCCACACCTGCCAGCTCTAAATGTGGGTGATTCTTCATCCACACCACAACGTGTCTAGCTCCTCTCTGCGGTTATGCCCCCACCTGAGAGGCCTCTCTCCCTCAAGCTGCCCAGCAATTCCTCCTGCTCATTTCTCCAACTTGATGACTACTTCTAGAAGCCTTCTTCACCCCCCTGCTTTCCCCAGGGCAAGAAGAGGGTGAAGCCAGCCAGGCACCTTCCATGCACAAACCTCAGGCTGGTGCCTCCTGAAAGAGTCTCTAAGCACCTCTCCTGTCCCCAGGGCCTGTCTCTTGGAATGGCCCCCTCTTCACATAATGCCTCCCGATGGCTGTGCTCTGTGTCACAGATGATGAGAGATGATTCATTAGTGGATTCCCAGCAGCCCTCCAAAAAGCTGATTGTGACACCCACAAGGTGAAACCTCATTCAGAGATGTCAAGTTTTCGTCAGGCACTGGGCTGTGTGCTGGGATCCAGCGAGGCACAGTCTGTCCTTAAGAAACATCTCAGAACTTGGTTACGTGCCCGCCAATCTTCTACTCGGAACACACATTTCCCGACCTCGAGGTGGACTACCCATGCAGCTGGATGAAGGATGGAATCAGGATCTCATCCCAGGGGTTCTGATTCTGAACACCTATGGCGAGGCCCAGATGTTCCACGAGCAGAGGCAGAGGGACTTTCTCCTACTTCGTGTGCACTTACCTATTACACTTGGTGTGCACTTACCTATTTGTTCACGGGTGCATCATGGAGCAACTACACTGTGTAAATCTTTGTCATCGGACTGTCAGGGACACAGAGGGAAATTGGAGAGGCGTCATGTTTTATAGGCTCCTCTAATTTATGAAATGCTCCCAAGTGCACTCTTCTTCTGGACTTGTAGAACCAAGATGATGTCCCTTTTAGAGGCACGACTGCTTTGCCCCACGTCACAGGTGAAGAAGGAATAGGGACCGTAATTGAGGCCACATGGTGAGTGGGGAGTGGAGGCTGGGTGAGCCCAGCTGTCTTCTCACTTGATGAGGAGCTTGCCTTGAAATGGTGTCTTGAGTCTCAGGAATTTCATACCTGGGAATTCCAGACCAGCAGGAAGAAAGGGAGGAAAAAGGATCATGGAAGTCAATTCATGCCAGTGAAAATGTGAGAGCCAGCTCACCCTTGGTGGCTGCCCGATGCTGTAAGACTGTTGCTCAATGTGACCCTGGCAGATGCAACCCCCTCACACCCAAGTGCCTGGACTGAGCTTGGAACCCTGTGAACATGGTGCTTCCTGTCATGGTTCTAGGACAACCAGGACTTCTCTACAAGGCAGCCAGCCCAGCCCCTGCCCAGGCCAGCTCCCTGGGCGCTGGGGACCAGGTTGTCAGTTAAGCAGATCTGACAGCTGACAGCTTTCAGCAGCAGCCCAAGCAGCAGCGTAGCTTTCTTTTCTCTCTCTCTCTCTCTCTCTCTCTCTCTCTCTCTCTCTCTCTCTCTCTCTCCTCTTCCTTTCCCTGTTGTTGTTGCAAGACTGGAAGCCTGACTGGAATTTAAAGCAAGTCTTTGGGACAAAATGTATGTCAGCACCAAGCCTGCTCCTTTGCTTCTTCCCACTCGGTGGGGTCCGAGAACAGCTGCACTGTGAGAGGAGGGGTCTGGAGCAGGGAGGCAGGGGAGTGGCTTCTGTCCCAGCCTGGGCTTGTGTTGGGAGCACAGGAGGGGCAGGGGCAGGAAACCCTTCAGGGAGCATCTGTAGTCTGTCCTGGGTCTCAAGGCCCTTTTGCTCCTGGAGACTGGGACACCGGAGGCTCCCAGTCGGCTGCTAATCCATCCTCTCCACGTTTGCCCATCAGTCCCTGCTTAAGGCAGATAGATAAATAGATGGATAGTTAAGAAGGGGGACTCTAAACAGCTTAGATAAACCATCCTATTTACATCTCGGCTCCAATATCTATCAATCCATTCTCTCAGTCTGCCGCTTCCGCCTGCCTCCATGAACCATTCATCTGTCTTCTCTCTGCCCCACGCTTTCCCTTCCCACCCCCCATTTTCCAGCATCAAAATAAACCCGCAGCTGAGACACAATGAGGCATGTCCTTCCACTCCAGTTATCTTGGAAGGGTGGTGATGGTGGCTGACACCATGGCTCCCTGTGACTCTCCTCCTCAGGAAATATGCAAATGTCCTTTTGAAAGCTCAGGGGACAAACACCAAGTGTCAGATCTGCTGGGCTAGGCCTGCATTCACAGTTTTGCAAATAGAGCAAGAAGCTCCCTAATCCAGGCTCTCCTGGGATAGGCGAGGTGGGAGACCCACAGTGAGCTTGGGGAGGAGAATCCATTTGAGTTAATAAGGGGAGCAAGGAATCGAATATGTGTACAGTTGTATCAATTTTTAGGTGATTTGGGATACCTGGATGAAGTGAGGGACTAGGAGAAGAAAGAGGAAGAAAGTGGGAATTTTCTAAATTTCACAATTAGCGCTATTAACATTCAAACGGTTCATTTCTTTAGATTCTCTGAACTCCAAATTTCACTGCTAACAACATAAGGGGCTAGTTTGAATGATTACATTCCCAGTAGAAGCAATGAAAATTCATGATATTAATTGTATATGAAAATATCAACAAAGACAGAGAGGGGGAAAAAAAGACCACTGGCCTCATTAATGAGGCATGCTCTGCATGCTAGACACACACGGCTAGGACAACTTGCCCTCTCCTTGGGGCCACCAGGCCTCAGATTTTGCTGGGTCCAGAAAATGCAATAATTCTCCCACTTTCCATTGACCTCTGAAGAGCACTCTGTCCTGTTCCCACAATTGTCCCATGTCTGGAGTCCCAGCTGTTGGTGCTAGGCCTTTCCTGGTGCCTCCTCATCCCTTCTGTTGACTTCTGGACAAACAGGAGCAAAAGAAGGCAGCACCTTTATCTAGAGATCCTTAAATGGAAGAACTTGCAGAAAACTGTGGTTGGCCCTGTCTCCTGACCTACTACAGGTCATAGAGGTGGGCCCAGGCTCACAGGGTGTGACTTGCCATAGGAGGAGAGCAGCCTCTTTGGACCCTGTGAGTCCAGTTCCAGAGGAAATACAACAATGGGGTGCCCTGTGGCTGCACCCCTACTCCAGTGGACGCTGGGGCAGCTTTCAGAACTGTTGGGGCATCTGCCTCCCGGCCAACGTGAAGACTGCTGCTGACACATGCCCAGAGCACCCCTGGAACTGGGATGCACTACACACAGGAGACTCAGGACCCAGAGGAGAGTATGTCCATCCTCCAAGGCCAGAGAGGCTGAAAAAGAAGCAAGGCCCCATTGTAGCCAGGAAAAATATGGTACAGTTAAGATTTCACTCACCCACCACTTCAGAGATGTTGGCCGGCTGGCTGGCTTTGGGGCCATGTGATATTTATAAGTGTGCACTGGTGAGTATCAGAAGATGTCCGGAAGTGATCACGAGCCCCGAAGGAGAAAAGGCCCCTTCCTCAAGCCAGCCAGGTTCATGTGCCAAGGACGGTGCTTCTGAAAGGGGAGCAGCTGCTCTCCTGTGTGCTATTTCAGGATGCAAATTTCTGAATACACATTGTTTTAAGAAAGGAGATGGGAGACAGAAACCTGTGCCTTCTATTTTCTGACTCTGACATTCAGAAAATCCATGTTCTTGACTCACTTCACGTAGAGAGATAAGGGAATGACGCTAGCTAGCCGACTGCTGGGGACTGGTCCCTAGAGACCCCTCCCAGCGGTGATCATGATGCAACATTTAGGGAAGAAAAGCTCCCTCCTTACCTTGAGATAATCCCAAGGAAGAGAAAAGCAAACAGTAAGACGGAAAAGCAAGCCTCCCGCATCCGACACTCAAGGCAAAGCAGGAGAAATATGAGGCTTTAAATCATGAGGTTCCTGATGACAAGAGGTCCCTTGAGAAAGAAAGCCAAGAATAAGTGGGCGGTGGTGCATGATAAATGTTTGCGTGAATAGACGGATGAATGAGCCAATGAACCCAGAGGCTCTGAATCGTGGCGGACTCACCTGACCCTTGGTACATCTCTAGTGAAGGAAACTGCAGAATCTATGGAGAACCTTAAAAAGAAGTAGGGTGTTTAGTGTGGTGCCTTAGCAGTGGCCTCTGTGCAGGGGCAGCTAGAGCCATGTGAAGACCAACTGTATCACATGGCCCAGGAAAACCTGTGGAAAGGTGATTCCCAGGTGCTGTCTCAAACCCACGGAACAAAGTCCCCGGAGTGGAGCCCAGAAGCTGTTTGTGATCAGCTCCCAGCTGCTTCTCACGTAGGCCAGCCAGACTTGGCCAATCGCCAGATTAGCATTGAAAACTACTGTTCTGGATGACGTCACCAAGACCTTTCCAACCTCAGGATTCTATGATTGTAAAAAGAAGACACGGGGTGAAGAAATCTAGGCTAGAGAGTTCATTCATTGCACATTTATTGAGCACATACTGCACACCAACCACTGGGAATGTAACAGGGGTTTTATTTATGTATTTATTTATTTTTACGTGGTGCTGAGGATTGAACCCAGTGCCTCACATGTGTGAGGCAAGCACTTCACCACTGAGCTACAACCCCAGCCCAAACAGGGGGTTAAAAAGAAAGCACAGAGGAGTTGCTCTGGACCCTGGCTGAGGAGGAACATCTTGATCTCCAGAGAAAACCAATAGAAATTTAACCCACCATTAACAAGACCATCAGAGAGGGTGAGCATTAAAGAAAAAACTTTGTTTTGCATTTCACAGAATAAAAGTAAGTCCTTAGATGTGTAATGTCTTACTTTAATAAAGTTTGTTTTTATACACAGCATTCACCCAGTGAGGTACTTATTGGTTATTATCTTCATTGCCTAAAAGAGAAAACTGAGGCTTAGAAAAGTTACTTTTCTTCCCCCAGGGTCGCTTGGCTTATATGTAGGGGCACCAGGAATCCAATCCAGGATTTGAAACCCCTAACGTAGTGCTAGCTTCACTATTCCCTAGAGATTGTTCCTCTGTGGAGATTAGTTTGCATGTCCCTATGAAATTACCGATGGTTTTCCATACTTTATCTGTGGGACGATATCATCTCCCGAGTCAAGGGAAATGTCCACCTGGTCAGAAAAGTAAATCCCAGATGTACAGGGAGAGGACAGCTGGTGAATCAGCTCTGACATTTCCCCAGGTTCATCTTCCTCTGGTGAAATTTCCAAGGTGTGCCCCTGACCGCTGGCCCAGCAGGCCGTCCTGAGAGGAGAGCTTTGAAACACCCTCCAGCTCTATCCTCATTTTAGAGGCCCTTGGTCCTCACCCTGTGTTAGAGGCTGTGGTGGGTACAAGTGTGGGTTGGAAAGAGGTGTATTCTCTTCTGAGTCCCAATATCTCTAAATATCGCCTTCTATGGCCACAGATGTGATTGGATTGCAGATCTTGAGAGAAGCTTGTTAGGCCCAAATGCCATTGCTGTGTCACTATGAGAGGGATGCAGAGAAGGAGTCTGTGTGGAGACAGAGAGAAATCCAGAGACACTGGCTTTGATGTTTGAGTGGTGGTAATAAGTCAAGAAATGTTGACAAACAAGGAATGGGGTGTCCCCTGGGGCCCCCAGAGGCACAGCCCTGTCAACACCTTGATTTCAGCCCAGGGACGCAGATTCCAAACTTCTACCTTCAAAATTGGGAGAGAAAAAATTTCTGTTGGGGGCTGGGGTTGTGGCTCAGGGTAGCGCGCTCGCCCAGCATGCGTGAGGCACTGGGGTCGATCCTCAGCACCACGTAAATATGAAATAAAGATATTGTGTCCACCTATAACTAAAAAATTAAATTTTTTTAAAAAATTCTGTTGTTTTTGGCACTGAGATGGTGGTTGCTGCAGCAGCCTCGGGGGGTAAACACAAAGTTCTGGAGAAGTCTTGCTAGAAAAAAGCCCCATTCAGTTGCTTAACCCAACATCCCCCCAACTTTATTTGATCACAGCATTCCCTCCCCCCATCAGGCTTATTAATAGCCAAACCAAACACACATTATACGCAACCCACTTCGGAAAATGCTGCCCGAGGGAAATCTTTTGCTAATTACTAGGGCCACCTCTGTTGGTCTGTGGAGAGAGATGTTTCCATTTAATGTTCTGGCCAAACAAGAGCCAGGGGCCTGGCGGGCCCACCCTGTAGCACAGCTGAGACCAAGGAGAATATTTAAATAGGATTTTCCTGAAGGCTGGGGATTACAGAAGAGGAAGTCAGAAAGGACATAAGGTGCAAAATAACATAAAATTGGATGATCTTGCAGCCAAGGGGCTTGGGGGCAGGGGGTGATGACTTGGGCTTGCTGTAGGGGTGCTACCCTGTCCAGCCCTGGCCTCTGCCATGAGGCCAAACATCTATGGACCTCGACATTGAGGACCACCTCAGGAAAGGAGACCAGGGCCAGGGCCAGCATCGCCACTCCCCAGGCTTATTTTGCAGGAGTCACAGGGAATCACATTAATGGGAAAGGCATAGTTTATGATGGGCCCCACTCCCAGCCTGGCTTCCCGGACACCCACGTGTTGCCATGACTATTATGGTTATTTTACACACCTCTTTCACATGAGTGGTTGGCCATAAAGATGCACTTGTTTTGCTTTATTGCCATTTGCCTTATGTAGGCCATTAAGACTTCACCGCTCAGGCAAGGAGGTTTAATTTTATTTTTAAATAAGAAGGTTCTATGACTTCAAGACATTCATAAGCTGGGAGAGCAAAGGAGTCGGCATCCTGGACCGTTGAGCGAGGGGGTCACGATGGCATTTCAAAAGTCCTTTCGTGGGTTGGCCTGAGAAATCTTAGGGGGAAAAAAAAACAGAGAGCAAGAGAGTGGAGGATAACAGCATGATGCAAAGAATGTTTAGAGAAGAAGGAGCCCATGGAGGACACGTGACACACACAGGAAAGTGGCTGCCAGCTCAAGAGTCCAGGCTTCCGAGTCATGACTTCAAGGCAGCCTGCCACGCTCCACACTGAGCTGATTCCTTCTGACAAGGAAGGGAAAGGGGCGGAGGGAGCCGCCTCCCCAGCTCCGCACCCTGGTGATATTGTATGGACGTCCTTTAGGATGGGGAGCGTGGCCGGGGAGCCCTACAGATATCCATATGTGCCCAAGCGGCCTCCCTGTAATCGACTCTAAAAGCACTCACAAAAGCCTTAGCAAGCGGAGGGTGAGGAGTGCGTGTCTGTTCTTGGGATCTGAGTAGAGTCCTTTTTTTCAAAGAGTGACCTCAGGCTCCTACCAGGCCACTTTCTTCCCTGAAACTGCCACGTTGCTTTATTAATAAGCTGAACAGGTGGATGGGTGGTGATAGCTCTGAAGACGTTTCTATAAAGTAATGGAAGAGGAAACCACCTCTTCCCGCCAGGGCAAAGGATGGCCAGCTCTCCCCAGGCAGCATTAAAGAAAGGAGGAGAGTGCATTCTTGGGCTTGGCAGGGTGGAAATACCACTCTGGGGCTGAACCGCACGCTACCCCCTCCCCTCTGGTTGAGCCTCGCAGCTTTGGGGATGCTCCTTGGGACTGAGACAGCTGGAAGCAGGTGGACCCGCGCAGATAAAAGAGCCCACCCCGCTGTGGAAGCATGAACACAATCCCCACTAACCTTTATAGGAGGCATTTATTCTCTTCCAGCCGTTGTCTTTGCCTCTCCGAAGCCCTGGATGGAGCCAGCACTGTAAATACCAAAGTGCCGATTAAAAACGGAGGCCTGCAGGCCAGCTGTGCCCAAGTCCAGGGGTCTGCAGTGGGACCGCAATGGAGGGGAAAGAACCGAACTCTAATGGACCCCCTTGGGGATCACCTGCCTCCACACACAGCTCCCTGCAATCATCACTGACCCAAAATGGGACCATCTGACGGGGAATGAGCTGTTCAGTCCACAGACAGAGCCAGCGCCATATGGAACCGGCATTCCAATTGCACACGGCAATACATAAAAACAATTCAGGATGCTAACTCTATTTCCCTGGCAATCGAGTTTAACTAGCACGGGGCTTGCTATAATCAGATTCTGCTGCTGTATTTATTAAATATAAGTTGCTAAACATATGGCCCAAGAGTTGGGTAATAGGACGCGGAGTCTGGCTTAGCAGGGGCATCATTTTTCAGTTCTGCCCTCAGGTATTTGAGGCCAGCAGCCATCATCAGCCTATCACGGTTCAGAGCCTGTGAAGAATGGCTCTTCTCAGTCACAGCCATGGCTTCTCCTAATGGTATCTAGTTGGTTAGAAATGACAGCCACAGAGGTCACGATCATAGTTCCAATGCAGTGTCAGATAGCTCTGACTCCTCTTTAGTCAGCCAACAATTTAGTGAGTACCTATTATGTACCGCATCCAGAGCTAGGACTTAAAGAAACTCAACTGAGCAAATTGTGGGCATTATACCAGCCTATTCAGTCTAAGGTGAAAAAAGGCTAGGAAAATATAAATTTAGTTCCAGGGTGGTTTGTAGTATAAAAGAAACTGGCACGGTTTAAAATATCTAAACCTTACACAAAACACAGAGATTTGTTTATTTCACAAGGGCAGAGATTGAAGTCAGGGATTTAGGCTGTCCAAGGCTAGAATAGCAACCATAGAAAAACCCTCTGTTCCCCTGAGCCTCGTGGCCCATCCACAGTGTGAGGTGCTATCACACAATGAGAGCCTGCTGGCAGATCAGGGCAGACCCTCCCACGACTCGGAGCTCACCCCATGACTGATGACCCTGCTACAGCACTTTCTCTTTATTAATTATCTGAACGGTGGTCCTCATTATTTATGGTCCACTGTGCAGAACTCAGGCTCACTAGAAATGCATTGGAAAGTGTAATTGTAAAGAGTGGCAGATTAAACACACCTGCGTATCTTTGCACCTCCTGAAGCTCTAGGAAGATGATGATAAGGGAATTTTTAAGAAGGCTGAAGAAAAACAGAAGGAGAAAATAGCCACAGAATTTGAGAGCTAGAAACAGATGAACAAGTGGTAATGAACTTCACATGCTGGAACCAGAGTCTAGAGAGGGAAAGGTCCAGAAGCAAGCAGGTCTTCACCCCAGAGGCCCAGAAAAGCCTATGAAATGTGAGCCCAAAGTAGTCCTGAGAGGAATCGTGCAGGCAGAGATGACAATGGGAATGTTTGCTAAATATCTGATTAGAAGAAAATAGGTCCCTGGGTCTTCTCTACTATTCTGCAAGTCTAGGTGACTGTCAGCCCCAGCCCTGGTGGAGGACTAGATGTGGCATCTCTAAAGAGGGACTTCAGGCTCAGGGACGGGAAGCTCAGCAACATGGGCTGAACTCAGCCCATGGACCTTGGCCTGGACCCTGCTCAGTTCTAAGAACACTCTGGGGCTACCAGGCATGTACCATGAGGTAAGAGATGAAGTTGCCCAATTCTGGGGGTGCTATATCAAAGTGCCGGGCAGATTACCTACAGCAACGCCTGCCAGAAAGCCAGGTGCAAACACTCGGCACATCCAATCAGCACGTCATGCGATGTTTCAGGAAAGCCTTTAGCATATAAGAGCAACCAACAACTAACTGCAAACAGGAATGAAAGCACAAACAGAGGCAAAACAGGAAGGAGGAAAATATTTTCAAGAAAAAGTCCTGTTATTGTTATCTTCAGACAGACGGGAGAGGCCACCGCCTAGATGACAATGAAGTTGGTATGTGCCGAGCACTTCCTGGTGCTGGCACTGCTCCAAGTGCTTTCAGAGCAGCATGAAGAGTCGTCAGCACCATCCTGCACAAAGTGACTGTTGTGTTGCTCCATTTTACAGCTGGGAAAATGGAGCCACATAGGGTGTAAGTAGGTATCAATGCCACCCAGCTGGTTCAGCAGATGAGCTGCAGTTGGTACCAAGGCGATCGGCTTCCCCAGTTTATAATCTCAACCACCGTGCCAAGGATGCTGCAAATGAGGGGACCTATAAAGGGACATTGAGATAACAAAGAGAAGTGACTGGGAATTAAAACTACAGTTGCAGATGAAATATTTATTCTGCAAAAGGTAGAAAATATTTCAGAGAGAGAGAGAGAAAAATAGGAGAGAATATACAAAATTAAAAAAAAACTTATACTCCTCTACAAAAATCTAGAGGATCAACCTTCAGCAGGTTGGTCCCTGAAAGGTAGATGTTTTAGCAAAAGGAAATGAGAATATAGAGGAAATGAAAATATCAGAAAATTAATTAAAGAAAATATCCCAAAACTGAAAGGTCCAAGTAGCACTCGGTACTTGTCCAGTATTATGAATGAACAAGAATTTAGGAACACATTATGACACCTCAGGCTGCTAGGGAACTGAGAACAGCATAATGCTTTCCACAGACAAAAAAAAATGGGTTAAAAATAAAAGAGTGGCATTCAAACCATCTTCCTTTCTCAATATCACATGAGAAATCAGGAGGCAACAGGAGACATCTTCAAGCTTTGGAGGGAAAACAATTCCTATGCTCCATCACAGAGAACATGAAGGGTTTTCTCAGATACAAAATCATCTAAAATGTATCTTCAACCCAGGTACCTTTCGGGAAAGGCACTGGAAGATACGAGAAGAAATCAATAAGGAAGGAGAGTTGGGATCCAGAAAATCAGGGACCCAACATAGAGATGAGTATAAGGGACCTGAGGACAACAGCAAAGGACCATCCCTGGAGGGCTGTTGGGGAGCTGACCTGGGCAGCAGCCAGAAATGGCCACCCAGGGTGACACTCCAGGGTGCTGTGGCCAAGAAAAATGGAGAAACCAACAGACTACCTGATGTGCTGAGAACATAAAGCTCTAGATGAATTAGAGGTAGTTGGGAGTGTAACTGAGTGAAAAGAAAATTTAGGCAAATTATTAACTAACTTCAGGGGGAAAATTATACAAGAAAAAAATCACATTCATCCCTATGACTCAGCAATGTGAGCATGTGATTTCCACTCTCAAAATAATGTGACAGATGCATAGTAACCTAATTAGAAATCGTGATATAACCATAGCCAGAAAATGGAGAATAGAAGCGTATGTATGCACACTTGTTTTTGCATGTGTATGTGTACATGTGTGTGTGTGTGTTTGTGTGTCTATGTGTCTGTGTGTGAGACAGAGAGAGAGAAAGGTTGTGGATACATGCATTGGGGGCCAAATGAGAATATTTTAAAACAGGAAAATCAATAGATCATGCCTAAAATTGAAAAATCTAGCAGTGTAAGCATGTTATTTAAAATTATTGAGACAACTACCAAAGGAACCATTAAAATAATTGAAAGCAATTGCTTCTGGTATCTAGGGTTGGGGCAGGACACTGAGGATCACAGAACAGTTTGAATTTTTTGAACTACATGCACCTTGTAGAAAATTAAACTATTAAAAAAGAGAGAGAGAGAACTCTGTCTTCCTGAAGGCAGTAGCCAATGCACACTACAGGGTTATTTTTCACTGAGCCAATCCAGTTCCTTGAGAGGGGCAGCTGCTCCCCACCAGTTACTGGAGAAGGGCACCCAGCTTGCCAGGCTCAAATTCCGTCTGCCCTGGGCTGCAGCTTGTCTGGCCTAGGTGATTGCCTAGGATCGCCTAGGGTTTTGCCAGCCATGAATGCTAAGAAACCCTCTCTAGCAGATCCTAAGGAGGCACGGGATGTGCTGAGTAAGCAGGATTCAGCGTGAAGCACAGCCTGCTCTCCCAAGGATGAAGGGCTGTGCTCACTCCCTGCTTTCCCTCTGCACATTGTTTCCCCGGCAACAGTTCGTTTAGGGAAGGAGGGCAGAGGTTTCCAGAGAAATGGGGAAGGAGTCACTTTTCTTACTGGTTTCAATTCAACCCTGTCAAATGGCTTTATTTCTTAACCTTATAAATCAGTAAGTCAAACTGTAAAAGTTGAATTGTGTAGCTGGGCATGATGGGGCACGTCTGAAATCCCAGCAGCTCAGGAGGCTGAGGCGGGAGGATTGCAAGTTCAAAGCCAGCCACAGCAATTTAGCGAGGTCCTGAGCTGCTTATTGAGACCCTATCTTAAAACAAAAATATAAACAATGGGCTAGGGATGTGGTTCAGAGGTTAAAAAAAAATGTGTAACAAAACCAGATGCTAGGGATAGATACAAAAGCAGCCAGTGAGACTCACACAAACACAGGGAGTTCGCAAGGCCCAGGCGCATACTTGCATACAAGTACCCTCAATAGATCCCAGGAGGTCAAGGACCTGGGAACCACACCATGTCCCGAATGAATGGCATTCCCCTTGCAAATCCAACTTCACTGTAATTATGATCAAAACCAAAACAGAGCTCCACTTCCCACATCTCTGTCACCATCCCTGATGGGTTAACGCTGTTTGTTGTTCCCAGGCAAAAGAGGAAACTGGGTGAGGATGGGGTGGGGGGCGGATTTCTCCCATCACAGCCGCAGACCCTTCCCTTCCATTTCTGGATGTTATGTTTTCCTTTCCACGATCTCTGGCACTCAAACACAGTCAGACACCAGCCTGAGTAGCCGCTGTGGAGGAAGCCCTTCTCTGGCTTAAGGTTCCCAATGAAGGGACACTGATTCATGTACACTTCCTGGGGGAGAGGAATGACCTTGGCTGGCGTTGTGGGTCCTGTCGGGAGAAGCAATTGAGTGTAAGCGGATCAGCACCTTCTTGGCCCTGGTTGGGGCGGCACCTGCTCAGTGGGAGGTTCCTTCTCTGCTTCTTCTTGGGGTAAATTTCAGACCTAGTTTCACCTGGGGAGACCACTGTCTCCTAATTAGGTGAGCAAGTTTAATTATGAGGTCCACTAGCAAGCCCATGTTCCAGGGACCTGCCTTCTAATCCAGTCCCCACCCGGCAGTCAGGTTGCCATTTTGGCCTCCAGCTGCCTGTTGTCCCCTCATCCCTCTGCAGTGTCACTCACAGGTCCCCACCAGACTGTTATTAGTTTCTGGAACATGACAAACTGCTTTCTCCCCCGGAGCCACTATGGCTGCTGCCTCCTGGGCCTTCACTGATTTGATCCTCAGCCTCACAACTCTGTACGGCTGGTTCCTCACCTTTCAGCCCCAACTCAGGACCTCCTCAGGGCAGCCTCCCCAGACCTCTCCATCTAGGGTGGGCTCATCTCCACTGGCTTTCCCAGTGACAGCTCCCTTTGTGGTATCTTTATGGCACTGATCACAATAAATATATTTTTATTGATTTTTTGCTTTCTGGTGCTTTAGTGTGTAGGTTTCCCTCTACAACAAAAGCTACCGGGGTGCAAAGACTCTATCTTGCTCATTATTGTGTCTCCAGCACCTACCGTAACATCTTGCACAATGAATGTCTTCTGAATCAATCGATGAAGTTAATATTTTCTACAAAAGGTGCTTACCTTAGATTTTAAGCACGGGATAGCTTTGTAACTAATATTGGTGAGTAGTTCGGTAAGTAACATTCCTTCAAGAGCTCCTGTTCCTGTGTGCTCGCTACTAGTGGCTCTGGTCTACAGCGTGCTCACAGCACAGGGCTTCCCTTACCAGCCACGCAGAGGCTCAGGCTGCCTAATCTACAACCTCCCCTCACATCACCCCTGAGATCTGGATCCTCCTGGCAGACTCTATTAGAATCCAGCCACCATTTAGTTACATCTTGCTGTTTTATTTCATTCACATCTATCTTTTGGGGTGTCTCACTTCCCTCCTTTCTTCCCATTTCCTATCTACATTCAGTTTTGATTTTGTGACCCTCTCTCTCTCTCTCTCTCTCCCCCCCCCCCAAGGGAATCTATACCAAGTCCTCTCTACCCCTCCTCCAATCTACAGATCATTTTTTTTCTTGGTACTTCTTTCAGGGCTTCACAGCACTTTGCACTTAAAAATTAATACCTGTATACCTTTACAGATTTTAAAAAGTCATGAAGACACTACATTTATATTTCATTAAAATAACCCTCACCTACAGTCGAGGTGGCCTCTCTGGAATCTCTATCCACAGCTGCAGGAAGCTTCTATGCCACCTCTCCAAGGCTGGGGGAAACTCCACAGCTGGAAAGTAGCACGGAGGTCAGAGGACTCCCTCTGGAGCCAGAAGTCTTGATGATCTTCTGCCTTAGATGTCCCAGATAGGACAAGGACAAAGAGCAAAGCAAATCACAGCAGATTTTATTCTCATGAGATTTTAAGTTTGGCACCACTAAACTTGACCTCCCTCCGTGGCTCCTAGGTAGTTCAAAATCCTTCTCAGGCTTTTCTGAAGCTAATGTGAGCTGTCCAGTTGACAGGTTTCACCCATCATGACGCATGCACCCTTTACAGCCAGGCACGCAGAGTGACTTTTTTTTTTTAATGACTTTTTTAGTTGTAGACAGATGCAATACCTTTATTTATTTATTTTTATGTGGTGCTGAGGATAGAACCCAGGGTCTCACACGTGCCAGACAAATGCTCTACCACTGAGTGACAACCCCCCCCAGCCCACTTTTCAGTCAACAATGGACTCCATACACAATTGATGGCAGTCCCATGAGATTGTAATGGAGCTGAAACACTCTACGGCCTAGTGGCAACACAGCCACCCTGACATGGCAGCAGGATGCTCTACTCGTGTGACTGTGTGAGGCTGGTGTGAAAAAGTCCTCTGCGCTGCCAGCTGTACAAAATTTTATCACACAGGATCCCACATACTACGTAATGACGCTTACAATGACAATAAATGACTCCATTACTGGTTAATGTATTTACTACACTGTGTGTTTTTCAACATTATTCTAGAGTGTACTCTCTGTTCTTATAAAAATTTAACGGTAACCAGCCTGCCCTGTCCCACCAGCAGCAGCCTCATGAATCACATGTTGAGGTCACGTCGAATGACTGACCTACACCATTGAGGCTTATGAAACTATGTCCTGTGAGGGTCACATAATGACAAAATCGTTAGGGGTGAGTTTCTTAGTACATACCCCCTCGTTAAGAAACATATGCCTGTATATATGAATGAGCATGTGAGTATATATATATGAAGCTTATTTAAGGCAGAGATGTAAATGGCCATTGAAAATAGAAAATTAGACATTCAATGCAAATAGTGTTTCAAATTAGAACTTCTTTGTGGTGTTTTCTTGGCTCGTTCCTTCCTAAGAAGATTTGTCTAGGGACAGATATGCCCATAAAGACTCTCCTGGACATCAGGACATTCTTGTTCTTCTTATCCTCAACTACTGTGGATGGACCTGGGCAGCACAGAGGCTTTAAAGTGGGAGCTGGTTTGGAAAATTCTGACTTGATATATAAATGGGCATATAGGGCATATCTAGTGATGCCCAGGGAGTCTGGGAGGGTCTTAAACTGCTAGTTGAGTTCATGTCCTCCCTGGAGAAAGCACATGGAAAGACAAATATATTCTATTCTTTCCCTATTTTGCCTTAATTTTAATGTCTTAATCCTGGTATCTAATAAATTGAGCTTAGTTCTATTATATCCAATATTTGCAAAGGCAATTTATTGTCTTATGTATTATTATACGAATAACATATGGAGATACCCATAAAGGGGTGTGTATGTGTGTGTGTGTGTATATTGGGAAATTATCCTACACAAAATGCCTGTACCCAGGAAAATGTCCCTAACGTGACAATTTGGCCTGACGGAAATACTTCAAGTGTCCCATTTATTAAAATCCATTAAGTCTCCTGGTTATAAATCTTGTTAGGAAATACACTGTGGTGAAAGTTACAGGTTTATGGAAACAATTCTTAAAAGGAGAAAGTGTGGGTGATGATTTGCTTACGCAAAGCTGTTGCTAGAGGCAACCTGAGTCACTGATGGCACATGAAGTATTGGTCAGAAAGAGAAAAAATGGAAATAGCCCTCAAGGAGGAAAAGACATGGACGTACATGCAAGGGAATGGTCTCGAGGCTCTGGTACATGATTTTTCTCTTTCCTTGCCACCCTATCCTGTAGGGGAGAAGAGATTTCAGGAAGAGTAGAGCTGAGCCCCAGAGATTGAAAAGACAAATAAAACCTGTCCCTCTGATTCAAAAGGAAACTGGGTTTCTAGTAATAAACAGCTACATGCCAAATCAAGACAGGCTTCGTCCTTCCTCAACCACTCTGCTTCATGAAATTTCCAAGGAGGGACAATCTAACTACCCCTGGTGTTTAAAGTAGAACTTGGTGAGCTACATACTCGGGTCTTTCTCAGAGCAGTCCAGGCCTCTTTAACTGAAATACCGTGGAAGAAAAGACTTCACAAGGAATATCATCCTCAAAAGAGGTAGAGAGGATTTCTCAGCACTCTGGCCCCATGAGTCCCCTTGACTTTGGTGCATTTGAGTTCAGTCCTTCACTGTGATATGAGGCTGGGGTAGGAGGGGCAGAGAGGGCACGAGGCTGCTCCTGGGCCTAGCACCACAGCTCAACTGGGATGAGGGCAAAGAAGTCCCTGTGCCTCTGGAAGCAGGGGAAAGCCCCCCATGGGGCCAAAAGCCTCCATATCTATGTGCCAGCAGAGTGGAGCCTCACCCAGATGATGAAGAGTTCATAACAAAGGAAGGAGGTAATTTTAATCAAGGAATGAGGATACGATGAGAATTAGATTACCATAATTTGTGAGAAATGTTCTATAAGAGCTTGTTTTTTTTTCTGATTAGGTGCATCATCAATAAATTAGAAGTTGATAGCATAAGGTTTCTATATAAAAGTGGCAATAATAAATATGTTTATTTTCAACTAAGGAAAATTTTCTAGAATATAAGTAGCTTTGCCTTGCAATGTTCCTGGCACATGGGAGATCTACTAAATATAAGCTGCATTAATGTCGACCCTAGTTTTAACATCCTGGTCATCTGTTACCCTGCCTCCTAGTGGTCGCATCCATAATTGTAAGCAAAGTAAATATATTGGGAAGGGGGCTTTGTGTTTGATTGTGGGTGTTTTACCAAGGAATGTATTAATAATGGATTGTATAAATGTGTTTATAGTTATTCTAGATGATTCAAGGAGAACCCATTTTGGAAGTCCTGTATTCTACACTTAGAATTTATCTTTGACTTTATACAACATTCTCTCAGATTTAGAACTCCAGTGTTTAAAATGTCCCTTGACTCTGAAGTTCCAAGAGAGCTAATGACTTAACAGTCAAAACTTTTCAAAAAGAAATCAGAAATTATTAAGAAAATATTCAGTCTCCAGAGTCAGCACAGATCCAGTGGGCTTTCAGAACCACCTTCCCATCGGCAACCATGGACTCTGTTTCTAACTAAGAGGAGAATGTAGGGGGCTGACACGGGCTTTCTATTTTTCACTTTAATGAATGCTATTTTCCTTTGCTTTAGAGAGCAGCCCCTAAGAAGACTAGTGACAAGATGAAGTTCACTGGTTTGCTTTTTCCCTGACAGGTTCAAAAGTGCCATGCAGGTGGCAAATTAGACTTGGCTTCCCATTAATTGGTAGGAAGAAACTTCCTCTCCTGCTGTTCATATTGTCATTGGCTCCTTCAGCACACATTGAGGTTCCATGGAGTTATCATTATTATATTTATCTTTGCTGCTGCTGGTGCCGTGGTGGGAAGTGTATCTGAGAAAATGCTGAAGGTCTGATATCAATTAGAAGACTCTCTAAATATGTGTCTTAAAATAGCTAGAAACTTGAGATAACTCTTGAGGTGGTGAAGAGCACATCAGTTGATAAAAATCTGGTTAGGGTAATTCTGGATCTGGATAAGAAATGTATGAGATTTTCTTTAAAGAATGTGAAAAAGTAATTCAAATAACAGTCACAATGATAATGATCCAGATGTGTTATCACATATCAAATTCTTACAGTGTAAAGGTGCCATGCATAGTTCTACATATACTCTGTCACTTAGTCCATAGGGTGACCCTAAGGGGTGATTATTCTTTGAGCCATGAACAGGAAAAGGATTGGCCCAGTTCCATACAGCTTATAATGGCAAAGCCATGATTCAACCTGCGTTTATCATTGGAAGACCTACAGCAAAGCATCCACCAGAGTGTAGATGGATCCTTCCTAGGCCATTTCAGTGAACAGAAACAAAGACTACCGTGGTGAGCCCAGACAGGGTTTAAACCTAAGGAGGACCACTAAGGGAAGAGGAGGAGAACATGTCTTTCTGAAGCCTGGTGGTCTTTCCAAGGGAGTCAGGGAAGAGTTTTTTTGACAGACCAACCCTAGATGTGACCATGCAAGTGAAACCAAAGGACATCCAGAGCCTTCAGTGCTGAGATGGGCTTGTGATGGCCCTGTTATAGCTAAACAGTATTACCCCCAGTTCCCTTTTTGGTGCATCCCTGGTTAGGATGGACTACAAGAGAGATTATTCCTAGTGCATTGGAGTGTCCCACAGGAGATGGCAGCCACTTTATAATGTACACATACCTTCTCTCAGCTATTCAATCAAACACAAGTCTGGGTGCCACCGCAAAGGGATTTTTCAGATGGAATTCAAGTCCCAAATTCGTTGATTTTGATTTCATCAAAAGTAAGATTTTCCTGGATGGACCTGATTTAATCAAGTGAAAGCCCTTCAAAGAGGGACTAAGCTCTCCTTGGACAATAACAATTCCAAGCAACAGAGAAGAAAGAAAAAAAATAGATAATATTTCTACAATCTGGAACCTCTACTGTCCCCTCATGGTTGAGGATCTGCTGCTGAGCCTCACCTCCACAGAGCAGCAGACAGAAGAGCCTTGTTCACCTTCCCTCTGGATCCTTCCTTCAAGGCTTTCTAAAAGTCACTTATATAAGGAGTTGTCTCTCCAGATTGGAGGGGCACTGGCTGGCACAGCATTCCAGGTGAAAACGGATTCGGGAAAAATTAACATGTCCGACTGGAAGGCAGAAGGAGTTCTTGTATTAGTCCACTTGGGCTGCCCAGAAAACACCGCAGATTGGGGGTGTAAACAATGGAAACTGATGTTCTCACAGTTCTGGAGGTTGGAGTTCAAGGCTGAGGTGCCTGCATGATTGGCTTCTGGTGGGGCCCCTCTTTTGGCTTGCACATAGCTGCCTCCTTGGGTCTTCATATGGCTTTTGTCTGTGTGTGAGCGGAGACAGAAAGCTCAGGTGTCTCATTCTTCCTGTAAGGACACCAGACCTATTGGATGAGGTCCCATGTTATGACCTCATTTAACTTTAATTGCCTTGTTAAAGGCCCTGTGTCCAGATAAGGTCATGTTGGAGGTCAGAGCATCACCCTCTGGATTTGGGGGTACATAATTCAATCTCTAACACATTTGTTAAGAAAAAAAAGAAGAAGAAAAATGTAACCAAAATTAGCCTGCCTGCAGAATGCACCATTTCTGCAGAGGGCTGGTGAGTTCTATTTCATATGTCCTTGCTATCAAGTAATATCCTGCTGTCCAGGTCACCACCGAACACCTTGGAGCGTTCCCCCAGCCTTCCTCCTTCCCTCTGCTTCTCACCACACGTGTGGAAGTCTTTGTGGGTCTTCACCAGAGGACTGTCCATCCTGGTCCTTGCACTGTTTATAAAGAAAAGTTTGTTGATAGATTTTACTGAAGAACTGTAAGACTCCTGTGCTTCTACTGTGTTCCCCTAGAGAACACCCACACTTAGAATCAATCCTTTATTCCTCTGCTGTCCCAAGCACTTCCATCCCTAACCTCAGGCTAGGATTATTTAATATAATATCAACTTGTCCCATTTTACCAGCTCAACCCGATATCTCAGACATCACAGAGTGAGTGACCTCCCTTGAAAGAATTCAAATGAAACCTATTTTTCTCCAAAATGATGCTTCCCAGGGAAGGTGGACTGATTCAGAAGAGCACAGAGGGGAGCAAGAGTCAAGCGTAGAGTCACCAAAAACAAGCAGGTATTATTTCCCAAAGACCAGGCTGGTTTTGTCAAGAAAGGAGAAATGCAGCAAATTGTGTGTCACTGTCGCCACCACTCTTAGTCAGCAAAGAGGGTCAGAAGCCATCTTGACACCCTGTTGGGACAGTTGGGCTCACGGAACACGGGGCAGCTCCCCTGAAGGAACTCCCTCGGCTGCTCATAAACATGGCTCATTTCACACACCATCAAATTAGTAATGGGAAGTGGCTTTGCCATAGCACAGGGGCCTCCCATCCATCAGCTGGCTGTGGGGACACAAGCCTTGTGCCCTTCCCTCGTCTCATTACACAAGCGCCTCTGTCTGGGACTCACTGGGAATGGTCCCCTGTGGGACTCTTCTATGTGGTGCCTGGAAAATGTTTCAGCTGTTCAGTTTGGGGAGGTGACACCGTGAACGGAGAGTTCAGGGTGACGCCTGTCAACATTTGTGTTTAGTGAGGAAGATGACACCTAAGTGCCACCGTTCCCTTTGTGAGTCAGGAGAGGACAGCACTAGCACCATGCTACTGGTGACCTTTGGCAAGAATCGTTGCCTCTCAGGAATCCAGCTTCCTTCTTTGTGTGGTGGTGGCATCTGACCAGATGCCTTTGAGGCTCCTTCTGGCTCATTGGTGACCACCATCCCAGTGGTGACTTGACGTGTGTCCCAAGGTCAATTCCTAGCAAGGCCCTCTAACTCTTTTGTATGTTCAATCTTATTTATTCCTCACAACAAATCCATGGAAGTACCATCATCATCATCAACCTTGTTTTTCCAAGGGAAAAATAAAACTGAGGCACAATGAAATTAAATAGCTTGCTTCCCAAGTCTCATGCATGTAAGAGGCAGCGCTAGGACTTCACGTTGCCAACTTGCTTCCGGCGCCTACACCCAGCCACTGTGCTATACCACCCACTAACAGTGTATTTCAATGGTGTGTTCTATAAAAACAAAAACAAGCAAAAAAAAAAAAAAAAAACAACCCTTGAGACTTCCAGCACCACGGCCAGTATTCAACTGTGGCTTTGTAAAATGTTGGTGGCAGATTCATCATCAGCCATTTATGTCCCTGTTCATGTTTCTTATGACCCACATGGAACCATTGGCCCAGAGTTAGCCCAAAGGCAGGGAGGGAAAGGGCAGAGCTAATGGCTTCCCCAGGATCGAGCCCTTGCCCTTGGCATTACATGTGGGCATTTTCATCTCTTGAAAATGCTTCACTTCCCAAGTTCTGGGCAGGTATTTACTCGGGCGGTATCTAGATGGCCAGCTGTAACTTCACCAGCCCCGTCCAGCCATTGCCTATGCCTGGGCGAGTGGCATCTCGCACATCACCTTGGGGGCTTGAAGGGGAAACCCAAATTGGCAAAGTAGCCCTCCATTCAGCACAAGAGGCAGCTCAGGTTTCTACTGCACTCAGCACATCCCCCCACCGCACAGTCTCCCTCCCTCTCGGCCAACCCCACCCCAGCCTTCCAGAACAGCCCTGGGGCAGCCTTCTCCTCGAAACCATGCAGTCTTGTGAGAGTTCAGTGGCCTCGTGGAACGTGGTCCTGCTGCTTTGTGAGTCTCGTGTACAGTGGGGTCCCTTTTGTACCAACAGATAACCTTGAAGAAAATGAAGAATACCTCTCTGGACCCTTGACCTTCAGGTCAGTGACAGACTGAGCTTGTGGTTCTGTGACCAGGCATGTCACTTGCTCAATTGGGTTGGAAGGAGGAACTGCATGAGGGACCCTCTTCTGAAGGAGAGCCCTTAGCATCCGGGTCTCCTTGTAGAAATGAGGCCTCCTAACCATGATTCGTGTGTGGGTCCTTCTGGGCTTAAGCAAATGTCCACTGACATTTCTCCAGACTGTGAACACCATCGAAAATCTTCACAAGGCTGGGAAGGTCACCACAAGCTACCACTGACACCATCAATACCTCAATCCCTTCGGTTTGTATAAAACCAGGGAGAAAATTGAAATCCCATGGTCATCATGCCCAAGGAGGGCAAGTCAACTCCCAAACAAGACCAGCGGAGGGGAGGGAAGCCGGCCTAGGAAAGCAGGAAGGCCACGAAAGGTGGCCCATGGGAAACGTCCTGTTCTGAGTGTGTTTCTGTGAAAACATGTGCTGATGTCCGCTGGAGACACCACAGACCGTATCTCATCAGTGCACAATTTAGGCAGCCAGGACTGTCCTTATGTTGCCCACACGTAATTTGGCATTCCAGGCAGCTTGGAAAAGATGAATTTGATTGATATCTTATTTTGAAGAAACTGCCTCTGAGTGGTTCAGCTCTCAGCTCTTTCCATGGAGAGTTTCACGGTGGTTTTCAAGGGGACTTCTGGGCTGCAGGGGCACTGAGCATCTTCCGTTCATAAGGCTGGTTTGGCAGGTGGTGGCACATCTGAGCTGCTCGGCCGAGGAAGAGGGCTAGACTCTCCTAGGGGGCCGGTGCCCAGGCCAGAGCAGGGCAGAAAGAGAGCATGCATGGGTCCCCTCGGAGTCGGTGTGAGGGAGCGGGACAGGAGCACAGGCAGTTCCCAGCCAGGGGCCGTCGCTGGCCAAGGCATCTGCAAACCACATTTGGTTTTTGGCCACGAGGGAAAGGGCTTGGCGTGCTCTTGTCTTCCCTCCCTGCTCTCATCTCCTGGCCAGGGGAAGGTGTGGCCCTGATGTCTTTCCCGGGCATGGCTGGCTGTTTTTCTTTGTACCTTTTATTCATTGGCCGCCAGAGGAAATGAGCCTTTAGGAACAACAACAAAAAAATCTCCTTTGTACATGGCATTTATGGATATCCAAAGGGTCTTTCCAGACAGAGTTGGCTGGTGCTGGAGAGAGTGGCATCTCTGGGTCATAAAGCATGTGTGTCCTGCCCACGGCACTATCCACGTGCTGCCCCACGTGTTCCTGTCTGAACTTCCATCTCTACTGCGTTCCAGATCTTTCTGCCGATTCACCGTCTTGTGCGAGGTCCTTTCATGGGGCTAGGACATACGCTGGTCTCAGCACCTTCTCAGATGACTTTATTTCTTTTTGTTGGCTGTTTCCAAATACTACTATTTTTTTTTCCTACAAAGCAAAAATAAAATAAAATAAAAAAGTAGAACAAAAGTAAATAGATACCAACTATTGATTCATGTTTTTGACCATATGGAAAATTTTGAACTTGACTGGATATTAAATCAAGTCCTACTGCACCAGTTTAACAAACTTTTGTTTTTTTTAAAAAATGCAATGATTTCTCTACGGAGCCAAGACAGTCTCTTGGCCAAGTGCCAGGAAGAGAAGCATCATGTCCAAGTGACCCAGCCGTACTCAGAGACCTCTGCTCCTTTCTGTGAATCTTGTCATATCACCCAAACCATTTCACCCCCACCCCAGGACATTTCTGTGATCTGTTTTATCAAGAGAAAATATGCACATGAATTATCTTCCTAAGTCTAAACTGGAATCACTCCTCAGAAATTTGGGAAAATAAATAGATTTTTTTGGGGGAGTGGGGTGTGTGGGAATGAGGGTCAGATAGGAAAAGACCCCTTCCTCCCTTTGCTGATTCCCTCTGTCAAGGGGAAGGCTGACTGCCGACCTTTTCCCACTGCGAATCTTGATGGAGTGACCTGTAAAAATGAATTGATTGCTTTCATTGATTTGCATAAAGAGTGTAGCATTATGATCAGAGATTTTTAAAATTAGTCTTCATTTTTGTATGCTTCCTAACCCTGGATTAGGGGAATTCTTTTAGTAAAATGTAGTGCAACAGAAGAAGATTGAAAATATATGTTTCCATTCTTAAGTGAAATCAATGTGAATCTTTAACACTATTTATTCAAAATATGTCACATTGGAAAAAAAGTATATCTTTGGAACATCTCTGTGATGTCGTCCTCAGGGTCTATAGCTCAGGGCTGCCTCAGTCTAAAAATATTTCATAATTCTGATGCTGAGAGGACAGAGTATTCAGTCTGCAGTAGAGGATTCTGAAGAGAGAGACATAATTTCTTTCAATTACACCCAAGGGATGGTGATCGCATGTTCTCTACAAGTAAAGATAAGAAAATGGGGGGGGGGGAAAGGAATAAAGAAAATCTATAGTTAGATACAAGGAAGAAATTCCTCACAGTGAGTTTGCTAGACATTCAGGAGAACAGGGGTGCGTTCTAGTTTTCCTTCCAGAACTGTGTTTTACATTAGAAGACATCAGTTGACTAGTGAGTGCTTAGGGTTAAGTTTCATTTCCACATTAAGGAAAAATTGGCTCTTCCAACCCTCAAAGTCTAAGACACACACACACACACCCCATTCACCAATGTTGATGTTGTCAGGGAAAATCACCTTCTGTGAGGATGCTCTTCAAAATATGGATTCCATGTCCTGTTTTCAAAATGGTGGTTCAGTGATTGTGGAGTGGAATCTAGAAACCTCTACTGATTGAAGAATTTCGAAGCTTGCAAAGCACAAGTGTAGAGTGAAGACATCTCACTTAGGTGCCAGGAGCCCGGGTTCCTGCCCTGGTCAGTCAGTCATTCATTACGTGAACTTATCAAGCCACAGCTTCCCAAACAAAAGTCCATACAAAGGCCCTGCTCTGCTGCCTTCACCTGGTCCCCCCAGCTTACAAGACACGCCTCAGGGAAGGTTTCCATAAGGGAGATTTGCAAGTTGCAAATCTGATTGAATATTCCTTTTATCAAACCTTACATCCCTCATTAATCACTCTCCTAAATTAATCAGAGAAGGCCTGCTCTTCTTCCAGCTAATTTTGCAGATGGAATTTCAAATCCTCAGATATTAATTAGGAGCCTGCCCTGGTGCAGACCCATGGCACCCAGTTCTGCTACTTCCCACCTCTGTGATTATTCAAATCACCGAGTTTCTTTATCCTCATTTGTGCAAAGGGGATGCCTCTACCTGCCTCCCTGTGGTCATGAGGAGGGAGTCTGGAAAGTCCCTGCCACCTTTCACGCACTTGGATCTTCTCACCTCCTTGGCCACTTCTCCTACAATCAAAAAGATCATCTTGCGTTGGTGACAGAATTCTCCATTGTATTTGGCAAAAATCAGGTCAACAGAAAATTGCCCAGAATGAACAGGAATAAACTTTCTCCTTTCCCCAACAGCTCAACAGATACTCTCATTAAAAAGAAACACCCAGAAGGGAAAAAGCAATGCCTAACCCGGGTGGGCCACAGAATTCCCCCAGGGCTTCTGCCAAGTGAGCTTTCCAGAGCACTTGAGGTCTGTCAGCAGACAGAACACCCCGGAATCTCCAGAGGCACCTGTAATGATGTTTAAAAAGCAAACAAAGGTATATTCAGTGGGCTCCTTCTGGCCTTAACCCTGGAATGATTTTTGCATTCATTCTGCTAAGCAGAGATTGGGGAGTAAATGGCTTGTTGGAGCTTCAGGGGCAGATGGAGAACAACTGACCCAGATTCTAAATGGAACTTTAACAAAGAAAGATATAGAGCTGGGTGTGGTGTCACACGCCTATAATACCAGCTTCTTGGGAGGCCAAGGCAGGAGGATGGCAAGTTCAAGGCCAGCCTGGGCAACTTGGCAAGACCCTGTCTCAAAATGAAAATATAAAAAGGACTAGGGGTATATGTAGCTCAGTGGTAGAGCACCTGACCAGTGTATTGGGCCCTGCGTTTAATCCCTAATATCTCTCTCTCTCTCTCTCTCTCTCTCTCTCACACACACACACACACACACACACACACACAAAGATATAGGACATATAGTATCCTAAACCTAATCTGATATCCTCTATGGCAGGTGTCATTGGGAATGGGGGTTTTATTTTTTCTTAGGGAGTCCTTATCATTTAAAAATGCACCTGTGGGTCTGTACCTGTAGTTCTCAAAAGAGCATGTAACACCAACAAGAATTGCTAATAATTTCTCTTATCTCAGACAAGCTCCATGCAATGGGGAGTGTCTGTGAAGTCTCAACCAGAGAGCACCTTCACAGGAGATGATGGCATTGCCATCTGACAATTGCTCGGTGCCTGGGCAGTTACTTGTGAAATGCTTAGTGGCAGAAGTGACAGAGGTGGCCAGTCACTTCCCAGAGCCCAGGCCTGGGGAAGTAATCAGACCCAAGCCAACCCCCCCACTCACCTCCCTGTCTCCTGAGGTCTTTTCTGATATGCCCCTGTCCTGCCCTTCTCATGCCCTGCACCCAGTGCTCACAGCATCCACGGCGCTCTGTGAGCTCCCAGTGGTAGGGCTGAACACTGTCCCCTGCACCCATGGACCTGGCCTACACTTGCCGCTTTCAAATCTAATCTCACCTCACTTCCTTCATCTCACTTTGTTTACTTTTTAAACATCATTACAGGTGCCTCTGGAGAGTCCAGGGGGTTCTGTTTGCTGAAGGGCCTTGAGTTTTTTTGGAGTTTGCAAGCCCTCCCAGCCATCCTGCTCCCACCCCTCAAACTGGGTAGGAAGTTTCCTCTGAGCTCCATCACAGCACTTAACTCATGGATGTACCCATTTATGTACATACTTTCTCCCCCATTAAATTGGGATCTCTGGAAGGTAGAGGTCAGGCCCTATTCAGCTCAGTTCCTATCACCAGCCCCTGTTTAGAAGGGCACAATAAATCTGACTGACTGATCAGTTAGATAAATGGGTGGAAGGATGGATGGATGGATGGATGGATGCTTTCAAGTGCTTCTCAAAAGTAAAGCTCCTGCCCTTGCTTGTCTCCTCCTATTCTTTTCATGACTCTGCACTTAGTAGGTGGAGTAACTAACATTGTACTTCACATTTTTCTGGATCCAAGCTATTTGGAGTGAGACACTTGGCTGACAGATGAATCTTATTTGGATTAAATGCTATAATCCCACTCCCACACCCACATGTATGAGGAGCAACGGGCTTGGCCACCTTCCTGTAAAGGACCCAAGATCTGCTAATAACTGTGCTTCGACTATATGGAGCTCTTCAGACCCGACATGGGCAACAGTGGAGGGGCAGAAGGACTGGCTCCTGACTGGGCTGGTGGTGAAGGCTGGCTTCTAGGTTTTAGCTTTGAAAGGTGAGGAGGGTTCTGGGAAGCAAAGTAGCACCTGTTTACAGTTTGCAAAATAGACAGTTTTAAATGCAGAGAGAGGTTTCCTTAGAAAAAGAATCCTGTGGGAGATTAAAAAAAATGGGGAAAATTAAGAGGGAGAACAAGTAAAGGAGCACATTTGATGTTTCTAGGAGAGGCATTTGGCTGTGAGGGGTCTGTCCAAGTTGTCGGAGACAGTGCCTCAGGCCCACTGCCTTTGTTTGAGGGGCTGGGAAGTCCTTCGCAGGTCTTTGTTGAATCATCCCCCCTCACACACATACTTGTTAGTTATTACACCCTGCAATTTGTAGTTCTCCAATGAGTATTTGATGTCTATTCTTGGGGCATTCGGCATTGTGCTGTTTGGGGGCCACATAGAAAATGTAAGAGGCACATTTGTGTGCCCAAGTTGTTTATAGTCTTACAGAGGAAGCAAGGTCCATTTGTGGGCAGCAAGCACGAAAACAGCAGAATGTAATGCAAGGCAGCACAGTTTACAAGTGCTCTGGACAGAGGCTCATTCTGCATATTAGAATCACTTGTGGAACTCTTTTTTGTACTGGGGATTGAACCCAGGTGCTCTTAACCACTGATTCATACCCTCAGCTGTTTTATAAAAATATTTTTAAAATTTTAATACAGGTCTTTTTAAATTGTTTAGGGCCTTGCTAAGTTTCTGAGTCTGGCCTCAAACCTGTAATCCTCCTGCCTCAGCCTCCTGAGTTGCTGGGATTGCAGGCATTTGCCACTGCACCTGGCTTCTTGAGGAATCTTTAAGAAGTCTTGATCATTGTTTATACCCATATCTGTGACATCAGAACCTATGGAATAGGGACCCAGATATCAATATATCTTACTTTCCCAGGTGATTCCAAAGTATAGCCAAGTTTGAGACACCATGCTGAAGAAAGATTAGCACTAACTGAAAAAGTTTGAGCTGCCTGTTCATCAGTTCTCAGTCTTAGGCTAGCCAATGGACATCTTTGGGCCTGGCTGTTCCAGAGATTTCTGTA